CCACCCCACTGGCTGTCCCCCACGCCCACCCCACTGGCTGTCCCCACGCCCACCCCACTGGCTGTTCCCACGCCCAGGCCACTTGCTCTGCAGCAGGGGGAAGTCCTCCGGCTTTGCAGTGGTCAGGGCGGCCAGCACAGCCAGCACCTTGTCGAGGTCATCGTCTTGCTTGTAGGCTGTCAGCGCTGCCAAGAGCTGGCTACAGCCTGCAGACCCCAGGGCCCTGCGGACATCTGCCAGGTAGGTGCTCACGGCGCGCTGGCCCTGCTTCCCTGCTCTGGGCGCTCTGGACCCCTGCTGTGGGTGGCTGCCAGGGCCTCCTGGTGTGGGAGTAGCATGGCTCAGAGTGGCGCTGGGGCGGAGGGCTGAGAGTCCCACCACCCTGCCTGCCCTTCCTCCCACGAACTCCTGGAGAGCTGCTCAGGACAACTGCGGGGTACAGAACCGGGAGCCCCCACCAGGAGATGCTCCCCACAGGGGCAGCTCCACTGGCACCTCCGGTTCAAAGGCTCAAGCCACACTCAAGTATTAGCCTCATCAAGCCACTGAGGAACCCACCAAGTCGCAGGCTGCACACAGTTCAGGACTCAGCTACCTGTGGGGGGTGGCCTGGGCGACAGGTGGGGCCTGCCCTGGTTCAGGTGCTCTCGGGGGTCCAGCTGCTGGGCTGCAGCCTTGGACACAGTCAGCTTGGGATCTAGCGCTGTCCTTCCTGATGAAGAGATGCAGAGCCACAAAGCTGGTCCCGAGCACCTGGAAAGTTCCCCCGGGGCGGGGGAAGGGCTGGCTGGGGAGGCCAGGCCTCACCCACCTCGGACCAGGGCGGGAAAACCCAGGCAGGCACACGTGCCCACGTGCCAGGGGCAGCAGAGGAGACACCAACTGCTGGATGGGGGCTGGAACAGTGGCAGGCAGGCCAAAGCCCTGCTCAGGAGCTCAGAGCCCCAGGGTGCGTACCAAGCCCAGAAGGGATCTGGGGTCTTCCCAACAGGTTAAGTTCCCCGCTGGGTGAACCCTGTACTGGAGGAGCTCCATGGGGGCTGTTCGTTAACAAGCACGAACACAGACACTCCCACCTCTGGAGGCTTGGACTCCACCCTAGGCAAAGGCAGAAGTAGGGAGGACGGGAGGACAGGGGTCTAGGGGTCTAGGACCCTGGCGTGTGCAGTGGACTCCCCAGGGCTGTGCATGGGGGGCAGGGGACACGTGCGGCAGCTGGACAGGGCTGTGCGTAGGGGTCAGGGGCTATGGGAAGGGCAGGGCCCTGCGTGGAGTTGCACAGGGTCTCCCCAACAAGTGATACTGCTGCTGGTGGTGGGGGGTGGCCCCCATCACTCCCACACGGGAACAGAGAGGCGGGGCCACGCAGGGCCCCAGGGATGCCCACCCCAACCAGCCCAGGACTTCGGTGCCTTCCACGGAGGAGTCTGAGGGTCCCACCCGAGGCCCCATTTACCAGTGGGGTCCAGGGCTGGCTGTGCCCGCTGCCTTCGGGGAACGCTGTGCTCTGGCCGGTAGCCGCAGCCCCGTCCCGTCAGCTGGATACAGACCTCCTCAAACTGCTCTTTGTGGTGAGGCCGCACAAACTGGTAGAAGCCTGTAGAGGAAGGGGTGTCTGTCCCCATCTGCCCCCTTTTCTCTAGAGAACAGAGACAACCTTGGACCCAGATGGCCCCCACCCCACACAGCGGCAGCACTGCCCTCAGGATGGGCGACCCCTGCAAGCCAGGGCACCTTGGAGCAGGCTGTGCTTCTTGGGGTCCTCAGCAAAGAGGGGGCCGAGACAGGCGGCCAGGGAGGCGAAGTCATCGGAACCCTTGTAGTCCTGCAGGGCCTGGGTGAAGGTGGCAAAGTTGGCTTGGCTCAGTTCCTGCTTCACAGCCACCATGAAGAGCTTGGCCCTGTCCATCTGTGCGCCAGCCACGGGCTCCTCCTGCAGCACACAGGCCCGAGGCTCCATCAGGGCCAGCCTCATCATCCCGTCCCTGGAGCTGCAGAGCCTTCCTTGGAGCATTGAGTGTTCCCCGGGACAGTGATTGCTGAGCAGGGGCTGCTGCCTGAGAAAGTGGTTGGCTGGATGGACACGGAGGTGCTGCGGGAAGAAAGCTGCGGGGCTGGGCCTGTCTGGGTCACACAGTGAGAGGCTGGCAGGGAACCGAGGGCAGCGAATGGGCAAAGGGTAGACTGGCTCTCCCTCAAGCTGGGGGTCCTCTCTCCTCCTCCCTAAAGCCCCCACCCAACAGCGGACACAGCTGAGGCTCCAGGATGGCAGATCATAGGGAGGGGCTTCCCAAGAAGCGGTGCCCATCTCTCCACACACCCCAGACCAACACGGAAACGTGGAAACCAAGGCAGGGGCAGCCCCGGCACTCCCCACCCAGGCCCTCAACAGCCCAGGCCCCTCGGCAGCCGCCCACTTCCTGATGGCACCAGCCCTGCCTGGGCACCACCCAGTTCTTCCCAGAAGCCAAGGGACATGGACAAAGGCTGCCACACTTGGGGCTTTCCAGCAGGCAGGGGGCTTCCTGGCTCCGACTACAACTCAGTTCTTTCATCCAAGGCTGGGAATGGGCTGCGCCCCTCGCATGAGGCAGGTGCACGTCCACACTTGAGGGAAATGCCAGGGCCAAACCCAGTGCTGCAGCCCCCAAACCAAGCCTGCCCAAGGGCGGGGCCTGATCCCAGCTGCCCTTGAGCCCTTGGGCCGACAGCTTCACAGCCGCCCTGGACATCAGCTCCCGGGGGTAACTTCCCTGGTCCCATCGGGCCCACATCCCAACTTGGCTGGGGGCACCCAGGGCCGGGTTCCCACACGTGTCTACGGTGGTCGGCACAGGTGCAGGGACAGCTCACGCACCAGGTGGCTGACTAGCCGGATCTTCTTCCTCCCTCCTCGCAGCTCCTCTGCCGGCCTCTTCTCAGCCAGGAGGGACAGGGTGGAGCAGCTGTGGGCCTGAGGAGGACACAGCTGTGGTTCCAACCACACACTCCAGGGCCCCAAAGCACCTGGGCCCACAGGGAAGATGGCCCCAAGGAGCCCTGAGCAGTAGCCAAGACGAAGTCGGGGGAGGGGGCGCGGCACACCCTGGTGACAGTCCCACAACTTGGTCCTGTCCAAGTCACGCCAGCAGCTCATGAGGCTTACGTGGTGACACGTAAGAGCAGGTCCAGGAAGGACAGTCCGACCACAGCGAGGGGCTGGCAGGAAGGGGACACAGGTGTCTGGTGCCTGCACCCGGGGCTCACTCCAGGAGCCTGAAGGGCAGGGACAGGCAGCAAGAGGAGAATGGCTCCCAGCAGGAAGCAGGGAGAAAGCTTCGGGTTGGCCTGAGAAATTATGGGCTTCTGGGGCAAAAGGCCCCAAGGAGGAAGGAACCTGGGTCCCAACCGCAGCACATTCCTGGAGAAAGGCCACTCTCAGGCACAGCCAGGGGCAGGGGCACCCGATCTTGAGTGCCCTGAGCCAAGCTGACCTGCCAGAGAATCAAAGTGATGTGGGGGCACCCGCTGAGGGCCAGGGCATGCACCACCTGGGAGCCAGCAGCTTGTGGGTGAGGCGAGGTGGAGGGCACACACATAGCCAGGCAGCCGGGATCCCTCACCTGCCTGCCTGCCCGACAGGCAGGGGATTTACAGGGGTGTGTGGGGAGGTGCCTGAAGTCAGATGGGCGGGGTGGGGTTGGCCTCAGGAGACAGAGGGTCTGTATCCATCCCAAGGCCCTGGAACTGCACCTGCTCCTCGCCAAGGTCCCCGGCCCGCTGTTCACTGTGCTCCAGGGCGGCCAGCAGCCCCCTGGGCCTCTGCCGGGCAGGAACTGGCTCCTGCTCATACTCCACACACAGGCTACTCTCGGGGTCCCCGGCAGCTGGTGATCCTGCAGAGTACCCGAGTGCGCAGTGAAGCCCACCGCGGGGCCCCAGCTGGGGGTCCCTGCCTATGACGGAGCCCCTCCTGAGGGAGGGTCCCAGCATTTGGGGGCCCCTGCCTGTGGGTGTCCTCCCTGCTATTAGGGGGAGTCCCAGCCTTGGGGCGCATCTTTGCCTGAGGCGTTCTCTGCCTGTAGGGGAGGGTTCCAGCCCGTGGGAACCCCACCCTAGGAGGCAGACACAGCCTTTGGAGGTGGGAGGGGCAGTGCATAAAGCCAGGTGAGCCGCCTCCACCCTGGGCGCCTGGTGCCGCCCGCCCCACACTGCCCGTCCCGCACTGGCCATCTGCACCTGAGGACCTCTGCTTCAGGCTGGGGACATGCAGGTCCAGACTCTTAGCTTTCCTGGTGGAGAGGAGGGGATCAGGCGACTTGGCCTCCCTGACAGCATCTTCTCCTTCACGCAAACTGGGTGCTGCAGCCCGGGGGGCCGGTGCTGGCATCTGCAGAACCACTCGGGGTGGGTGGGCCCATTTCTGGCTCCTCTGGGGACAACACCCTCATCCCCTCCCTGGGCAGAAACTCACAGTTCGCTCGGCAACACGGAAGAACTGGGCCACGTCTCGGATGACGTGGCCGAAGTTGTCGTACACCCTGACGTGAGGACGCACCCAGGAGGGCAGCTGGGCTCTGGCATCAGCAAAGGCGAACCTGGGGGGTGGCCACAGCCCTGCTGCCCTGCCCACAGCCGCTTCAGGGGGTCAGTTCACCCAAGTGAAGACCCTCATCTGCCGCAGGGGCCTCAGGCTGACCCCGAGTCGCCAGAGAGGCTCTGGGGGAGACGGGGCCTCATGTGGGGAAGGAGAGTCCAGGGGCCCAGTGGGATGTGGCCGTGTCCCCTGGCGCCACGCCTGCCCCCGGACTGCACGCACCTGTGGTCACAGAGGAAGACAGCCCCGTAGTCCTGGCGGTGCCGGATCACTCGCCCAATGGCCTGGTTCACCGCCCTGGACGCCTGCTGCCGGTACCACTCCTGCCCAGAGAGGAACTGGAGGGCGAGGAGGCTCGGTCACAGGGGCTCCCGTGGCCACAGGGGGGCTCAGTCGCCAGACCGCCTTACCCCAGCCCCGCCCTGCTGTAACTCACCTGGCCCCCAGCCCCACCCTGGCCCTTCATCTCGTCCAGGAACTGCATCTTGAGGACAACCCGGGGGTCCATGCGGGGGGGGTACGGGAGGCCCGTGACGATCACACCACGGCCATTCGTGTCTGAGAAGTCCAACCCCTCGCTGGCCTGGGGGACACACCAGGGAGCTGCCTGGGGCCATGGGGGCTCCTCCCCCCGGCTGCCCATACCCAGCCCAGCCACCTTCCCCGAGGCTCCAACCCCAACCAGGGGTGGGAGGAAGCCCCATCTATGGGTCAGGACCCCACTTGGGGTCCACAGCTCCCAGACGCCACCTCCAACTCTCGTGGCCAGGAACCTCCTGCATCCTGCCTGCCCGACTCAGAGCAGGGCACGCTCCCAGCAGGCCACCAGTGCTTTGCTCTTGTGGGGCCCAAGGAGGGGACCAGGCAGCCCCCAGGGCCCAAAGTCAGCTGGGGAGCCATGAGCACCCACCAGGGAACAGGCAGCCGGGTCAGGACAGAGGGCCCCAGAGAGCTCACCTTGCCCCGGCACACCGCCAGGAAGGTGGCGCCGGTGGACCCAGGGGCAGCGACCCTTGCATAGTAAGCACTGATGGTCTGGAAGGAAAGTTGGTCAGGCTCAGCCTGGAGCCCACCTCGGCCCCTTCTTCCCCCATGAGGGAGACCCAGGTCTCATCCTCCAAGATGAAGGACTATCCTAGCCAGGAAGGCCAACCGGGTTCTGGAAGCTTCTTCCTGGCACGGATCCCAGGCTGATCCTGCGCCTGCTCAGTGCTTCCCAGAAAACACGGGGAATCCCAGGGCCAGGGTGGCCACCGGCTATAGCTACTCAGACAGGAGGACCACTGTCACCACACCCACCCAGTGCTGGGGGCTTTGTAAGATAAGAGGCAACACTCCGGGCCAGGAAGGAAACACAGGGGCCCTGAAGAGGCAGCCAGGAGCCGCCAGAGCCCGTGGTCAGGGCTGGTGGTCAGCCTCGGGGAAGCTGTGAGGGGCACGGGAGGCACGAGGGGGCAGCAGACTCAGAGCCCCGGCCAAGTGCCGACCTCGGAGAAGCTGCCTTTGCTCCTGGGCTCCACAAACAGCGGCTTCAGTGCCTCCATCTTCCTGGCCAAGTCGCGGGCCTGTGGGAGGAAGAGGCAGGGACACGGCAGCCCTGGTTACGCCGCCGATCCGATGAGGGCAGGCAGGAGCTGTGGCCACTGCCTGCTTCGTGCTCCAGCCCTGCCCTCACCCACCCCACCCAGGACATACAGGGGAGACATACTCGCCAGAACTCCAGGCTCTTCTCCATGACAGGATAGGAAGGGAAGAAGATCAGCAGCCCGTAGGGCACCACGCGGGCGATGTTGCCTGGAAGTGCAGGCGCTGGGGTCAGGGCAGGGGCGGGGCGTCTTCCGGGGTCCCTACCAGCTCTTGGGAGCAGGGTCCAGGATCCAGGATGGGCACAGCTGGGGTGTGCCGGGCACTTACCCAGAGCCTTCCCCAGGGAGGACAAGCACTCCTCAGAAAACCTGCACAGAGCCGAGAGGCCAATGCTCAGGGCCTCAGGGCTCAGTACTCCCCGACCTCGCACCCCAGCACGGCCCAGGGACAGGCCCTTACCGTCTGTCAAACGCAGAGCTCAGCTGGGCTCCATCGGGACCTCTGGGGACAACCCCCACCCAGATCTGGTGCTTGTCGATGATGTGTGGGTTCTCCAGGCAGACCGGGAAAGGGCTGAGCGTGGCCGGAGGGACAGACAGTGGGGAAGGACACCAGCACCCCTTTAGCCCTCGAGGCCCGAGACCCCCAGTGAGGCCCAAGACCCCCAGCACCCCGGCTCATGGGGACCCCCAGCACTCCCACCCCACTAACGTCACAGGCGTCACCAGTGCTTAGGCCCCTGGCAGGGGTGGCCCGTACATCTGCATCTCCAGGGCAAAGGAGGACACCGGGGCCAGCGTGCCGCTGGTAAGGATGAGGGAGCGGACGCCCTGGCGGACCAGCTCGCGCATGCTGTGGCCGGGACTGAAGCACCAGTAGCTCAACACCTTCCCTGTGGGGCGGAGGGGAGCAGGGGACACAGGGTATGAGGACGGGACTGGGGGCCTGACCGCCTGCCTCTCTGCCCATCACCCTCTCACCCACTGGCATCAAGCAAGTGAGCCGCCCACAGCCACCCAGGCCCATCGTGCAGAAGTCAGAACAAAGGAGGCTGCCCTGAGTGTGAGCGCAGTCTGCCAGCTGGGGTCCCCTCTGGGGGACTGGGGGTCCTCGGAGTACGAGGCAGACCCCAGGCAGATGCTGGGGACACCTCCAGAGAGGTCAGCCCACTCCAACCCTAAACTTTTGCAGAAACGGTGACATGCGGCTCAGGGCAAGCTCATCCCGCCAAGAGCGCACGGGAAGCAAGCACCAGTGTCCCGACATTCCAGGGACGCGCACAAGAGGAAGTGCGAGTTCCCCGCTCCGCCAGGAAGCCTCTGAGTGGCGTCAGCAGCGAACAAGGGCACCGGTTCAAAGGAAGTTCCTAGAAGTGCTTGACTGACCACAGCGGCCGTGGCCTGGGGAGGAGACTGAGCCTGGGCACTGGACACCAGGAATTAAACATGGCACAAGCAGAACGACGCTGACTGTGACTCGGGGTCAGCAGGGACAAGGCACCTCTCCCAGCAAAGGTCACCCCGCTTCCTGGGGCTGAGCGTGCCCTGCAATGGGGGAACTTCCCGACCTCCACCTCCAGGAGCTCATTTCCTACAAACGCCCAACGCAGGGAGTGGCTGCTTCTCAGAAATCAAGTGACGTCAGAGGTCAATGGAACAAATAGATTCCAGGCCCTCAGGATCTGTGCGCCAGCTGCCTCAGGCACGCGCCGCCTCCCACGACCCCCCCAGGATGGACGCTTCCTGCCGGGAGAGGCCTTGCCACAAGGCCATCACCGAGCCACCGACCGGGGGTCAAGCCACGCAACCCTGACGTCCTCCCGGCCCTCCCCTTCCAGCTCGGCCAGGCAGACCAACCACAGCAACCACGCGGGGGCTGCTTCAGCCAGGGCCACGTCGTGCCACCGCGGGCCAGAGAGCTCTGAGAAAGAACGTTCCAGAGAGGGACGAACCAAGCCCAGAGGCAAGGCCCCACTGGAGCACAAGAAGGGGCAGCAGCTCCCACCGCTGCAGCCACAAAGCCCCCCTTGGACACCACATGGCCGGGTGGGGCCGGACACACTCCAAGAACCACAGGACTCTGGACACCGAGCCGAGGGCCCACTCACAGGCCCCATCCACACAGGTCCCCGGCAGCACCGACTCGAAGACGCCACAGAGCACAGGAAGCCAACAAGGCACGTGGGGCCTCAGGGCCGAGCGCACCAGGGGCTTCGGACAACAGGGCCAGTCGGGCCCCCTTCAGATGTGACCCTGAGGCTTGGCCCAGCCAGGCGCTGGGTGGAGGCAGCAGGGAAAGCTGTGCCTCACTGTGGGGCTGCGTGCTGACGGCCTTGGCATAAACCAGTGTGTCCCAGCAGGAAGGCCTGGCTGAGCTGTGGCTCGCCGCCACCAACCAGGTGACTCTGGGCAGGTCACGGTGCCATCAGGCCCTCTCCCATGTCTCTCAGTAACTCCAGCCTTCAGAGGGACAGTGAGGAGAACGCTCTGGATTGGCCTGGACATGGAGAAGGTGGCCAGGCCCAGGGGGGCAGGAGACCCACAGCTGGCCACGTGCCTAGCCTGTGGCATGCTGGTGCTGAGCGCCACCCCCGGGCGGGCGGGGAGAGTGTGGGCCCAGGTCTGTACCTCGCTTTCTGGCTGCAGTGGTGCTCCAGGCATCAGACCGCTGAGCCGTCCTCCGGTGACCAGCATCAGGATGGATGTGCACCTGGAGGGGACAGGACCAGGAGTGTGGAGACCCCGCCCATGTCCTGGGGGCAGCCCCTTACCTTTCAGGACCGCAGGACCCCCAGCCCCACCTGCCTCCTGGAGGTGGCCCCTACCTTATAGGACTGTAAGGGTCCCAGCCCTGCCGGGGAACCACGGCTGCCCTCGGAGGGGTCCACACTAAACACAATCTGAAAGAGAGGAGGTGCAGTCCCGTGAGGAGCCTGAGGCCAGAGCCCGGAGCCCTGGAGGCCACCTGATCTTCTGCAGCATCAGCCCCACACACGGAAGGTCACAGGACACCCAGAGGTCATCGGTTCACCGGCCCCTGCCATCACACAGCCCCAGGCCGATGGACAGGAGCTGGCACCTGCCTGACCCTTTCTCCTCCCTGGAGGGACCCCGGTGAGCTCTGTTCCCCCTACGCAGGCCATCTCCGTGCACTGGAAACGCGGCAGCCCGAGAGGCCTCTCCTCCCACCAGCTGGCCCAGCCCTCCTCTCTGTGCCCCTAAGGGTCCCAAATTAATCTAGAAATTCAACATGGCCTAGTACAGTGGCTCACGCCTGTAATGCCAGCACTCTGAGAGGCCGAGAGGGGCGAACTGCCCGAACCCAGGAGTTCAAGACCAGCCTGGGCAACATGGTGCAACCCCGGGGTCTCCACCAAAAGAATATGAAAACTAGCCGGGCGTGGCGGCACATGCCGTGGTCCCAGCTACTTGGGGGGCTGAGCTGAGACGGGCGTGGTGGCACGTGCCGTGGTCCCAGCTACTTGGGAGGCTGGGCTGAGAGGATCCCCTGAGCCCAGGAGGTTGAGGCTGCAGTGAGCTGTGATGGTCCCACTGCACTCCAGACTGGGCAACAGAGAGACACTGACTCAAAAACACAGGAATTCCACACATTCCAGTCAAAATCACAGCAAGATTTTTAAAGGAAGCAGACAGGCTGACTCCAACATGCATCACGGAGAAAACATCAGGGCAGGTTTAAGAAGAACAAGAGGCCGGGCGCGGCGGCTCACACCTGTAATCCCAGCACTCTGGGAGGCTGAGGCGAGAGGATCACCTGAGGTCAGAGGTTCGAGACCAGCCTGGCCAACACGGCAAAACCCCGTCTCTACTAAAAATATGAAAATTAGCTGGGCGTGGTGGCAAGCACCTGTAATCCCAGCTACTCAAGAGGCTGAGGCAGGAGAATCATTTGAACCCAGGAGGCGGAGGTTACAGTGAGCCAAGATCGCACCACTGCACTCCACCCTGGGCGACAAGAGCGAAACTCCGTCTCAAAAACAAACAAAAAAAGAAATTGGTTCTGGCCGACACCAGGACTTACGACAAAACCACCACGAACAAAACCGTGAGGAAAACAGTGTGGCAGGTGCCCAGCGGAGTTGGGAGAAGCCGAGCCACTCGGTCAGCAGACGGAACCACCGCTGTGGCGTGCTGGGAAAAATCCAGGTAGAGGCCGCCTTTCACACCCCCACAGGTGACGCCGGAAGGCGCGGAGGCCCTGACACAAAGCTCCGCCACCCTACAGTGCAGTCTGGAGAACACACAAGACCCAGTTTAGCATCGGTCGGGAGGTACAAGCTCCAGACAAAAGTCTGATGACAAGGAAACATCTGTTCACTAAACCCGCCGTGAAAATGGAAAAAACGACCAGCACGAGACCAGGAGAGAATATGTTGGCATGTGTTCCTCAGATCTTACAGAGAACCCTGCGAATCAATGGGAAAGGGGCGATGCCTGCACTAGGAAAAGAGCGCGTGACGACCATTCCCGGAAAAAGAGCCGAAAATGGCCAGAACAGGAACGTGAAGCCCCAACAGGCTCCGCAGAGCGGCCACGTCAGCCCAGCCGCCGTCAGAGCCCTGGAGAAGCCGCAGACTTGAGGGAGTTCTGCTGGGAACATCAAGAAGCCGGAATCGTTCACAGAAATGCGGAGAAGCTGAACTAGAGAACACGGGGGCCGGCACCGCAGCTGGGACACAAGAGACCGGCAGCGTGCGTGGACTGCGCACGTGTGCACGTGCCTGGGTATGCACAGGAGAGAGAAACTTCCTTCCATTCCTTCCTTCCTTCCTTCCCAGCCATTTTCACTGTCAAGACAGCTAAATACAAGGCCTTGCGTTTTACCAAAGCATTTGGCCCACAGGGATGGAAACAACAGAACAAATTCACCATGACACCAGGGGCTGCCATGAGCAGGGGCTGAGGCTGCCTCAGGAAACAGCTTCCCTCAAAAAGCCAGCCCTCTGATGGGCAGGCCTGGAAGCTCTTACCTGTAATCCCAGCACTGTGGGAGGCCAAGGTGGGCAGACTGCCGGAGCCCAGGACTTTGAGACCAGCCTGGGCAACATGGCAAGACCCATCTCCACATAAAAATTTTAAAAATTAGCCGAGCGTGGTGGTGCACGCCAAGACCCCATCTCCACAAAAAAGCTTTTAAAATTAGCCGGGCGTGGTGGTGCACGCCTGTGTTCCCAGCTACTCAGGTGGCTGAGGCAAGAGGATGGCTTGGGCCCAGGAGGCTGAGGCTGCAGTGAGCTGGTGACAAGGCCCTGCACTCCCGCTGGGGTGACAGAGCGAGACCCTGTCTCAAAAAAACACCACCACAAACCGCCCCGTGCTTCAGCCCCAGGGCAGCTCAGGCAGAGAAGGAAGGGAACCCACTAGTCTCACAGGGGCCCAGTGGTGACTGGCTCCCCAGCACGGGCCAGCACTGCCCAGAGTTTGCCTCCAGCTAAGCTCTACCTCCCCAGCACACAGCCTGGCCCTGCCCGGAGTTGCCTCCAACTGAACCGTGCATCCCACATCCTCTTCCTGGGGCCACTAGCCCCACTCTAGCCCCACTCTGTCCCCAGGGTCACCTCTGCCTCAGGGCTGCAAGTCCAGCCCAGCAGCAGCCCTATGAGCAGCGCCCACACCTGCAGGGACTCAGGAGCAGCTGAGGGTGAACACGGTGCGCAGTCCCCAGGGTTGGGAGGAGCTGAGTCATCTCCCAGTGGCTACTTAGAGCAGCAGCCAAAGGAAATTCCAAACCAATGGGGTGAACAGGATTTGGTTCCAGAGTGTGGACACTTCTCCATACTGGAGCCTGGGAAGCCACATTCCAGGGAGGGGCAGGCCCGGGCCAGCTCACACCTGCCCTCCAGGCCCTGGGCTGCAGGGCTGCCTCGATGGCCATGTGCTGGAGGTGCTTTGAGTGACCCATCAGGACATGGAAGCAGGTCCGCCTGGCAGGTGCACGGCCTCCTGCTTGAAGAGGCAACCACGCTCCAGGCGGGACGGCAAAGCAGCCCTTGGCAGGCAGGAGCCACAGAGAGGGGTCTGGCCCTGGGATGCCCACCATGCCTTTGGGGAGGAGCTGGGAGACACAGCAGTGCCGCTTTCCAGTCCCAGCTGCCACACAGAGAAGACACAGGCTGTGGCATCACTGGCCGCAGAGAAGGCCACGGTGGAGGTAGGGCTGAGCCTGGGCCCTACCACCTGCTGTGCCCACCCCACCTGGTCCCTGCCCAGGTCTCGCCCCCGCTCAGAGCCACTTCTTCTATGAAGAAGGCAGTGCCTGGTCATCCTGGGGCCTGCAGCTCCACACCCAGCAGCATGCATAGAGCACTGCACCGCACTGCATGCACAGGCCGGCCGTACATTCCAGGGTTCTTCTGCGGCCTCCCCCAGCTCGAGCACCCCCCACCCCAGGCGGACACTCATGAAGTTGTCACAGAGCTGGGCAGCCCCACCTAACCCTGCCATGACCTCGTGTGGCCAGGAGGTTCAGTGTGGGCAGCACAGAGGCAGCCTCACACGGCTCCACACAGCCACCTGTGCCTCGGTTTCCCCAAGGACTGATGGCCTCCCAGTCAGGGACTTGTGGGTCTGCTTCTAAAAAATGCACCGAGGTCCAGGAGAGGCAAGTGTGTGCCCAGAGCACCCAAAAATGGGGCTTGCCCTCCACAAACCGCACAAGCCCCTCTGCCTCAGGGAAAGCAGGTGCTGCCACAGGCACAGAGCCAGGAGCAACCTCACATGGGAGGGGACGGGCATCGCAGGGCAGGACGGGGCCAAGAAGGGGGCCAGGGCCGCATCCCCCATCATGGGCTCGCAGGGACACCCCCGCCGGCAACCTGCAGGGTCCCCGTTTGTCTGTCCCTGGAGAAGCTGTTCAGGAAACTGCGTGTGTCCAGAGCTCTTCATCTGCGTGCAGCTGGGGCTGCCGGGAGTGGGTCCCCCCTGGCCTGAGGGCCCGGACAGGGCAGGAGCGGCTCCCTGGCCCCCACTCCCCTTCACGTCCTCCCCCACCAGCGTCACCCTGGGCACGTGCCACCAGACCTCGTCCTCCCCCATCCCCGCGGGAGGCCCAGTGTGGGTTTGGGTTACAGGAAAGGAGCCAAGGGTTTGCCAGTCGGAAACAGGTGGTGCGGGGGCCGTTCTCCCACCCCCACGTCTAGAGTCAGTAACTAATACAGCAGGAGAAGGCACCCGCCCGGCTTCCATCAGGGAAGGAGATGCCAGAGGAGCAGGCCCCACCTGGATGATGTCCGCCAGCTTCTGCAGTCCGGCCGTGTTGGTGAACACTCCAGCACCTGCGGAGGTAGCATGCTGGGCGCTGACACCCGCACTGCAGGCAGGGGAGGCCCCGACCCCAGCCCCGCCCTTCCAGCCATAAGCCAGCTCAGCCCGACTGCCAAGCTCCATCTCCTGCCCAACGGGGTGCCCAGGGTGGAGCGCAGTGTCCACTCAGGGCGGGCAGCTCGCCTGCCCTTCCCAGCAGCCAGGAGAGAAGCCAGGCAGGGACAGCGTCTCCAAGGGGGCCGGTGGAACTTGAAAAGAGGCTCTATGGTCACCTAAGGTTTGAAGCAGCAAGAGCCGCCCTCCCCAGCACCTGGGAGCACAGCAGAGGCCCCGGCGGGCCGGCATCTCAAACCAGAGCAGCCCATGACGACACTGCCTCTGGGCGAAGCCTCTGGACCCCACAGCTCTGAGAGGCAGAACTGGGGGTGTGTGGAGAAGCCAGAGGCCCCACAACCCAGCCAGGGCCTTGGGCTGCTCTTCCTTAAAAGGGGAATAATGGGATGAGTCTGCAGGATGAAGCCGCCAGCTGCAGAACTGGGACAGGCTCTACGGCAGTGGGCAACCGGCACTAACGCCTCCACGCCCCGATCAGAAGGTGAGGTTCTGTGAGCCTGTTCCTGCTGACGGCCAGGTGATGGCCAGGGGAGCCCTGACTGCCAGGATGGAGGCCTGCTGCACCCCCTACGCCACGTTTGCCCACACCAAAGACCCCGCCTGGGCACTCACGTCCGGCCAGGTGCTGGATGATCTGGTCCAGCGAGTCCAGGATGCAGCCCTTGGTCTGAAACGTGATCTGGGCTTCAGCAAACAGCTCAAAGATGTAGCTGCGAGGAGAAGAAGGCAGGCTTGAGCCTGGACGGGGGATCAGGCTGCAGCTTTGGGAACTGAAGGCAACAACTGTGGAAGTTTCCTTCCCTCGGAAACAAACTGAGCCCTCCAGGGGACGCCGGCATTGAGGGTGAGAGGCCTCTGCCCTCAGGAGCCTCCAGATGGGAAGAGGAGGCCTGGCCAGCACGAGAACAGCACCAGGAAAAGAAGCCTCAGGGCAGAGGCCGTCATCAGAGGGGAGGGATGGGGTCGCCGGGGGGTCGTCAGGGGCTTCTGGGAGGCAGCGGCTCTGGGCAGAGTCCCCAAAGCCTTGGGAGAGTGACAGTGATGGCGGCAGAAGCTACAGGAGGGGCCCCTGGGGGTGCAGGGTGGCCGAGGAGCCACGCCAGAGCCTTGAGCATTACGCTGAGGACACTGGCTCCACCTGGAAGCAACTGGGAGTCGCCACAAGGTCGGCGCTCAGGCAGAACGCGCTCGCCTCGGCGGCTGTGCACTCAGTGGAGCCCCACACAGGCCCCAGGCCTGACCCTCATCTGCCTGCAGGACAGACAACAAACCCTACTGCCCTGGCCGCGGAGAAGACAGGAGACCCACGGAGCCTTCAGAATGTTCCGGGCCTCCCGGAGTCCAAAAGAGGTGGTGGCTGGGACACTCATCATCCTAACAAGAAGGTCTCATTCTAACAGGCACCTGAGGAGGTCCAGGGAAAGGCCTGGAGGAGGAGAAACTGCAGGAAACCCAGCGGCCCCACATGCGAGTGTGTGCTGTTCCGTGGGGGTGTG